CTGTTTGTCCATTTGTTCAGACCACTGCAACTTGCACCATATTTATGTTTTATTTCAAGCCGAAACAACATGCACACACACGATACAAATAAGCGCTGTGAATTGGAAGCAGATCAGAGGCCGCGGCCCGCTGATTGTGCTGCTATTGTTCGCCGCTATCTGCTAATGCGAGCCATAAGTCATGCAGCGACAGCAGAACAAAGAGCTTAGGGAACGTCGTGTGGAGACCAAAGGAGGTTCAAGTGAAGAAAAACCGGTCCAGCTCAGAGACCAGGTGTTTGAGGCGGGGGTGCGGCTGCTCAGAGGCGGGAGGGACGTGATAAGCGCAGTGATGGGGACATGCTGAGAGGCTGGTTACATTTCACAGCCAAGTTCATTTCTTTCTATCTATTTTCTTATATTCAATTGATAAAGAAAAATAAAAAATGTAGGGTTTTTTCAGGTCAGTACCAAAAATAATGTCTCGTATTAAGATTAAGCCTATTCACTTGCATCAAAATACCACCATCCTCTGTTTAGAACTGTTTTTGAATATATTTTTTACTTGTTATGTAAGGCTAGAAAGGCGCCTGAGAAATAAAATGTATTATTTTTGAATGCCAGCCTATTTCAGAACAGGTACTCCCACAGTGCCAGCCATTTCTGATGATTTTTACTGATTTTTCAAGACCCACAGAATATTGTGTACTATGACTATCTGAAATCCGATACCAGATTCTAAAAGAATGGACTGTCTACTTTCCTCAGCAAAAATAATTTTGTTTATAGCTTTTTTCGTTCCCCTGTAATCCTCCGTCGAGTAGAGGGAAGTTTTACTGAAATCACCAGAAATCACCAGAAAGTTGAGAAAAAAGAGGCACAACATGTGCACCTACATGTTTTCAAACCATTCAGAGAGCAATGCTGCCACCTGCTGGCTTGATAAAATATGGTCTCAGGTCATCCCCATACATATTAGATACAATAGACATCTGGGAACGTGAAAATAGCGAAAAAGGCATTTGACGTATTAATGCGTCAATGGGACACAATGAGTTAAGATTAAGAGATCCTTCATTCTTCCCACGGTGGGGAAATTTCAGTGTTGCATCTCCAGCTACAGAACAGAGGAGCACACAGCACAAAATGTATCTATCCAGGGCCAAAAACCATTGTTATGTTTTTTTGGCTGGAATATTTCACAAAATGGAATACAGATTTGCTATCTTCTATGATGACAACAAGGTGAATCTGCTAAAACCATTTTTTGGCTGCGTTTCCACTGCGGTTCATGGTAGACCAGAGTTAATCTGAGAGCTCGGTCCAAGCACAACGTGTACACAGAAAATAACAGGTTTATTGAACCAATGAGCCAGATGTTGTAATTCTGTTTATATTTAAGGCCGGGACCAGTGTGACTAGTTTGTGGGTACTATAGAGATAAAAAATAAATAAATTGCACGATGCAGTAGTTAAGCCTAGAGACCAAAGCCATTTAAAATCTGTTTCTCTGGAAAAATATGAGCCTAGTTTGTACATACAGCATCAGCACAAGCATTTTACATGTCAAATCATTTCAATAGTTTTAACCAGAAATAAGGGTGTTGTCTCGTCTACATTTGACCCATTGACCCACAATGAGGAGTAATATTTGCTGATGCAGAATTACTATAAAACATCACCAATGGTGGTGGTCTTCAGTGGTTTAGTCAAATCATTATTTTATCTAAAAGACAAGGATTTCTGAGGGGAAAAAGCAAACCTTTTAAGCCATGGGGCAAATGACAGTACTTGCCGCAGCTACTTTTTTCAAGTTCTATTAACTCTTCAGCCTATACACTCAATTTACTGTATTTATTTTCATATTCCAGCCAGATCAAACAATACATCCTCCAATACTTCAATAATTACATTTTCAATTGTAATTGTATGCCTAAAATCGTGTGAGATTAGTTTGGGTCCATTACATACAACCCAACTTTTGAGAGCTCATGTCACAGTCCCTTTTTAGTCGACTAATCAACTAAAGCCTGGTTCACACGAGACGATTTTAAAATTGTCGGCCGATTTTTCTCCGTGTTAGACCCCACACGGGGAGATTAAAAATCCTGCGTCCAACCACTTTGGTCGTGCAGTGTGTGGTGCGTAGCCACACGGCAAGATCACGCAAGCCACAAACATCACACACAAACCGACACCCCCCTCCCTCACAAAATCTCTCGAGATCAAGCGTGACTTCAGAGTAAACAGTCATGGCGGGCGAAGAGGATGCAGTGGCGATAGTGTGCAGTTTGTTGTTAACAGAGAAGACACGTAATCCAAAGAAAAGGCAATGGTCAAAGCCATGCTGCTGTGTTTTGGTTTTTTTCCGGTGTTTCCTCACCGGCTTGTCACCTCGTCTTCTTATTGGCTACACGCCGTAGTCATGGCAACGCGCTCGCTTGTCCTTGGAGGACACCACACACGACAAGAAATCGGGCCAAAACAATCCAACATGTTAGATATCCCCGATTTGAGATTGGGAGCAGTCCCGATGTCCTTCCGAGCGACGAGTGCAGTCTTAACACACCACACACGGCAGGATAATCTGTAAGATTTTGTTACGGAAATCGGAGCGTTTCTTAAGATTGTCGTAAGGGGTAAATCGGGTCTAAATCGGCCTAAATATCCTGCCGTGTGAACCAGGCTTAACTGGAAATGTCTTCCAAGAATGTATTCTGGTGGATTACAGCTCAACCTATTAGAGGATGTCTTCAGATCTTCAGCATAGTTGTAGCTTCTAAGCTAAACTAAACTTAGCTAGCCTGATTGCTGGATGCAAAGATTCAGTGGTTACAGGTGCAGATGCAATGATGACAAACTGAAGTGTGCTTGTATTAAAATAAATGTATTCCTATTTTCCATAATGATTACTAGTTACTAGACTAGTAAAAGGCAATCTTCTAATCACTTCCAGACACTATCACACTTGAAACACGACAGGGTAACACCAGTAAAACCCAATTGAACTGCCTGCTTTCCCAAGAGCCCTCCCAAACTGAACACACAAGCCATCCGCCAGCAAAGACATGCCACTCCCTCTCTCCTTCCACTATTGTTTGAGCCGAGATCCCTCTATATCTTTTAAGCAAACACTCCAAGTCGTGAAAGTGAAAAAAAAAACATGTTTGAGTTATCATTTCAAAGCGTTGTGAATCCCGCAAGGAATTTCTCGAAATGTCAGCTTCACCTATTTTGCGGTCTGCTTTGAGAAAAGGTTGGCAGGGTCTTTCTTGTCCCGACAAAACCCGAAGCAGCGCTAAGTCCCTGTCAGATCCCCGAAGCAGAGGTCTGATCCAGGAGGACTGTCTGCGGATGGGACCTCGGCAAAAGCACACTGTATGGATATGAGGGAGATGAAAAGGATGAGGGGGACATGGAGGGAGCGGGGGTGGATGGCTAAAGTATTACATCACTGCTGTGAACTGGAAAAAATTTGATGATGCAGAGAGGAAGTGAAAGAGCCAATTGTACTAAGACATTTGATTTTCCATCTTTCAGTGCTTTGTAATACAGGAAGAGGAGGTAGACGTAAAAAAAAAAAATAGTTAATGGTCACATTTATGTAGTCTTTTTCTACCTCTCAAGGTTCTTAAAGTGCTTCACAACAAGGAACCTATCACACATTCATACAAGATTGTGGCGGCATGGGTTAAGTGTCGTGCCCAAGGACACACTGCAGCTTTCAGCAATGGAAGCTAGTTTCACACCTGACAATTTGCCGGTCAGTCGCTTTGACTTCTCAACCTATGATGTATGTCAGGAGCAGCGGGGGCGGGTCCCAGCTCAAAAGTGGCCAAAATGACGTGCGCTGACATACTTGCAATACCACCCCGGGCCGATGGGGGTGGACCCAGAAGAGGAATTAGCCAATGCTAACATATAGCGTTGGCAGACCTCTCAAAAACGTCTTTACAAGATGGACCAAAAGTTGGCTCTTGGCCCAAAGCTCCGTTCCACATGTGTGTCAATGCTGAGGGGGGTGGATTTTTTTGGTCCACTCTAGTTTACTCGCAGCGAATTTTTGAAGTCTCTCGTTCAAATGAATGGAGCTGCGCGATGCGTTTTTTCACAATTTTCTTGTGGGCGGGACCACTCGCGGCCATCTTGGATCGCTCCATGAAAGCACTTTTCATGGCCAACTCTTATGAACGGCGGAGATAGGCGTGACTCTGTCCGTTAATATATACAGTCTATGGTCAGGAGTAGGATTCGATCACAAAGTTGAAGGCCAATTCAATTCAATTAAAACTAAATAGATTACATGACTTTCAGAGTTACCTAAGCACTACATATTTATAGTAAATATTGTATTCAGGTAAATATTTATAGAGCAGCAAGTCCTAACACTAGCAAAGCTTAGTTGGAGGTAGCAGATGAGGTGTCAAAAAAACTATACGTCTAACAACATGCCAATCCAAACAAGGAAGTAGGGGAAAACATTCTTATTCACCACAAGTGCTTAGAGAAGCCACTCTTACTTAGTATAGTCAAAATGTAATATACTAGTAAATCAATCAATTCAAATGATCAAATTCATTCATGAGTTTGGAAAAGTCATGAGCAATGATGGATAGATAGAATAGTTTTTACCTATCGAGATAGCTTTCAATATACTGTATCTGGTTATGATGAGAGCTGTGTGGCTCTTATAGATGCTCTACTCTCTTTCTGTCTGATATCTGTTCTAAATATGATATCATGCCTAAGAAATCAAGCATGTGAATAATATTAATCAACCAAAAAGTTTACTGGCCGTATGAAAATCAGGTACCTTTTAAGATTTAAGAGTAACATGGCCACAAATCTTGACCTGGGCTGAAGTAAATATTCACTTTTGTTGCCTTTTCTTCATTCAAATGTCCAAATGAGAGTCACAATCAGGTTATGTAACAGTTCGTTTGGTTAAGGGTGGCAAGAGTTAGCTTGAAGAGGGACAGAATATCATGATTATAGAGAGCCCCATATGAAAACTGTTTTACCTTTGCGGGCAATCCGAATGCAGTTGATCCTGGTTTCCTGTATAGACACAAAGAAGAAAAGCATAGAAGTCATTTCCAGTGGTATTCTTAAAAAAACACGATGATAAGCAGGTGACCAAAGAGCCTGAGTAATCTGGACACAAGGCTGGCCAATGTCAAAGTTACACAGACCTTTGCCGTGTTTGGGATAATTGAAATTTGCAAACAGATGGGAGTCACGGACCACAGAGCTTGTCTGGTCTCTCAAAACAATCACCTCTGTCTTGGGCCAAGGAAACTAGTTAGGATTTAAGGAAGTAAATGAGCGTTTATGGACAATTATGCTAATCTGTGCGGGGAGATTGGAGTCGGGAACCTTGGCCCCCAAAAAGCCAGCCAAATGATCTTTTTTTAATTGGAAAGCTGTTTGAGTGGGCCCTCATCTGTTGTCATGCCATGCTGTGACAAATAAGACCAGAGAAGCTAAGAGGGAGATTTTTGTATTTGCGGTTTGACTGGAGGATGGGATAGGTCAGGCTATTGGTTTCTTTAACTAGGTTGGTCATGGTCTTTATTTGTTACTATGTGATTCTGTGTGAACCCAATTGTGGTCACATTCATAACCAAATAGTAGAAAGCACAAAAATTATCGGCCCCCACAAACTTCTCGCTTCTCAGCAAAAAGATCCTGGGTTAGAATTTTGGACAATATAGGGTTGTTCTGTGTGGACTTTGCGTGTTTGATGTGAATAGGTTTTCTTTGAGTGCTGGTATTGTAAGCGTGCTCTCTATCGCCCCCCTGTGGTTCCTGTTATGCAATATATGTTGACATTTCAGACGGCAGAGACACTTGAAATGCAAAATAGCCTGTAACCTTGACTTTATAATGATTGGTGAACAATATTGGTTGAAATTGGCATTATTGTACATCTCTTACCAGATTTATAAATAAACATACAGCATATATTGTATTCTACTACTTTCCACCAGTGAAACATGCTTCATATGTTACGTGAGATGCAAGTTAAATGACAGGCCAAAAGTTGGGACGCTAAAATAATCAAATGGCGCTAATGGAACTTTAATTAGCTAATTTAAAGACAATTTGTGAGCGCTCCGAATAAATGTGTGTGATTTCTATAAGTATACTCATTTAGTTAGTTAAGTGCATTGGAAACTTGTGAATCTAAAAGTCACATCACATTAGGTTTGAGTGTGAGTAATACCAGGGGCCCAAAAGTGTTTAATTTGCCGTACTACAACATGTCTTCCTATTGTGGACACATCTGCAAAGCAATTACACTTTCTATTCATCCTCGGCCTGTCGACATTCCATTCATCCTCGGTGATTGTCAAAATAATTAGCTTGCTATTTTCCCTATTCCTTAAGCTGCCCATGTCGCCTGCTGTAATTTAGATAAAAGATTAGAATGCTTGCAAAACAGAAACAAGCATAAATTAAGGTGATATGAGTGTTAAATGTACAAATAGAGCAATCATTTAGTTTGTGAGGAAGTCTGTATATGTAATAAAAACATAACAGCAATCAGGACCTCGACATATATATATACTACTCAGAACAAGATTTCGGGTGGAATTTCGGGATGATCTTAAAAAGTGAATGGGTGAACTCAAAGTTTTTCGGGAGCCATGCATGTGCAGGGGCTGAGTCTGTTCATGTTGCCGGTTAGCCGCAAACGCCGTTTTTTTGTCAATTTGGCAAAAATGCAAGTGTGGTCAAAGTGAAAAAACAGCTCTTGATACTACAAAAAAAAAGATAAAATATGAATCGAGTTGTTTTTATCTTAATTTGACTACGTTCTGTTTGGTCTATTTAGTCTTATTTCATGAACTGTTGCTTTATTTTCTCATTCCAAGCGATGAGCTACTTCTTCATTTTGCTTGTCCCATTGCCACTTCTTGTTTAAAGGCAGTCAAAATGTACTCAAATTCAGATACATGTTATCAACTTTGAGCAATTTTTGACTTTTCATTTTTACCAAGTACAGTAGCTAAGAAAGGATGGATGACAGGGGAGGGTCAAAATGCATCTAGATGATGCCATTGGAAAACGCTTTTGTTCAGACAGGTAGGACTTCCTGCAAACTCATCCTAAATTCCTTTAATAATTCCAACATTTTCCACAGTTGAATGTTCTGTACTTTCTGGCACACTACACTTGTGAATGGTACAGTAACAAGTCCATACCACTTGAATAACATCATTAAACCTGACATGAACAACACATTTCATCTTTATGGACAACAATGCAGACTGCTGGAGCTGAACCTCATAAAAATCTTATGGGACTCCTGAGTCACTGTGTATATGCTCGTGACCCTGTGCCCCAGAACGTCAATAAGTCGAGAGCTCAAGACGAGTGGGATAACATGCCTCAGCAGACACTAAATCGACGTGTGAACACCCACAGAGACGTGGTGTTCAAGCTGTAATTGATGCTCAATGCCACATGACAAGTTGAGAAAAAAAAAGCCTTACTTCCATGATCTAATACAAACTTTTAATGTTTTTAATAAATTCTACCTACGAGTCAAGTATTGTATGTCACTAATTGCCAATTTAGGCCCTCTGTGTGATTTTATGTGGCGCTCTGTCTTGTAATCTCTGGAATTGTTGACGTTGTTTGACTGTACAGTATATACTGACATTTGTTTTTGATTGTATGACGCAAATGAATCTGTCTTTCGGCCATCTGCCATCTGTCAGCTGAAGCCTGGTTCACACGAGATGATTTTAAAATTGTCGGACAATTTTTGTGAGAGCCCACACACGGAGATAAAAAAATCACGGGTCTAACCACTTCGGTCGTACAGTGTGTGGTGCGCAGCCACACGGCAAAATCACGCACACCACACACATCACACACGAACCGATTTCCCCCCCGAGCATTCACAGGTCAGACGGAAATCTCACAAAATGTCTTGAGATCAAGTGTAAATTCAGAGTAAACAATCATGGCGGACCAAGAGTTTGTTTTTAGCAGAGAAAAGACGTAATCAAAAGAAAAGGCCATGGTCAAAGAAGTGGAGACAACGCGAGCATGGACTACATCGTGATATGGAGGTGAGTTTTTTTTACGGTGTTTCCTCGCCGCCTCGTCTCGTCTTCTGATTGGCTACACGCCGCAGTCATGGCAACGCGCTCGTCTGTCCTCGGGGGACACCACATATGAAGAGAAATCGGGCCAAAACAATCCAACAAGTTGGATATCCCCAATATTGAGATCGGAGCAGTCCCGAAGTCCTTCCGAGCGACGAGCACAGTCTTAACACTCCACACACGGCAGGAAAATCCATCAGATTTTTTGTTACGATATTTGGAGCGTTCTTACGATTGTCGTAGGGGTAAATCGGGTCCAAAATCTGCCTAATTATCCTGCCGTGTGAACCAGGCTTGAGACTCACAAGATCGGGCTCCAACTTTATTCCAGTGAGCACTCCTTCTTAGCCCGAGACAATCCACTCCCCAAAAGTGTAGAATATCAAGATGCTGATTAATCAGTCTCAATATCAAAGCTTGTCAAACTTCCTTCATATGTAACCCTGTGTAGCATTCAAGTGTGTGTGTACAAGCGTGTGTGTGTGGGTGTGCGTATTTTGTGCTCACATGTGTCTCATACCCTATGGTAGGCCATTGTGTATTACTGTATGCCCTGAACTATTGTAATAATCATAATTGCACGCTGCATGATGACACTTGTGTTGCATTGTGTGTATTATTGTGTTGAATGGGTGAAAAAATTATAGCGTCTGCTTCATCCAACCCCTTTTCAAACCTGTATTGAGCATAATTGTGTCTCACTAACAATGTTCTGTATCATTTTACATCATGTCCTTTCAAAGCTCTCACATTCACTTCCACTGTCCTTCTACTTGCACTAAAAGTCACATTTCCGCCTCCTTTATTCCCAAACAGTGATGTGTGATTGTCCCCACAGAACAAAAGCACTTCCTCGAGAGCCTGGGAATCCGACCAGTACAAGCAGGCATTGTCTTCGCACGTAATTATCCCCCGAAAGCACCCCAAAAACCCACCTCGGCTGCTCAGATGGCATATTTAAGGGAGCACACACAAAAAAAGAACAAGAAAAGGCGTTGTTTTGTCTTTGCTTGGGTTTAATTTAGGAGCGATGCAAAACAGATTCCGCAGGGATCAAACACAGAACAAAATGAAATTAAAAAGTTGTGTTTATGCGAACGGCCGGTTCATTACTTTAACAGCGCGCAGAGGCTTTCTAATGAGGTAGTTCCAAATGATAACACCATGGCAAAGCAGTTCTTTAAACTTTTTTTTGTTTTAGACTATCAAATGATGAAGGCAATGTTTTATACCATTATACTGTATATTTGTATATTATCAGTTTACATTATTTTTTTGCGTAATTGAAAGCCCACATCTTTTGGCTGATATTATGAATGTTGTCTGTGCCGTTATGCAGTCTGTTGTGCCATTGCTATCATCACATAATATAGAAACTTAATAAATATTTGGTATCAATGATTTGGAACTATCCACAGGGCAAGTTAATGGCAATAAAAAAACTCATCAATATTTGTAATTAAAGTCAATATCTTTATGATTTTGAGTGTTTTTTGTTTTTAAAAGGCAAAAAATGTCATGCAAAATCAACTTATTTTATTTTTCAACTGCATTACTACATTGTTCCCTTAACCCCAGTTGTTTTTAGATCAAACACGTAAGTCTGCCCCATAACCCCTAGTGTGATGTCATTGTACAACTATGACATCACACTCAGAGCAGTTTTCCAAGTGAAATTACAATCTTTTCAATCTTTTGGCAGTGGTTGCAGTCAGAAATGTTCAAATTTTGAATACAAATGAACAAATTATACACCTCCCTCTGGTGGGAACACATGGATAGGCCAGGCCGATTTTGACCCTTTTTACCCTCCATATTGTTCTCACCATATAGTTTTTACTTAAGATATTATATATTTCAAAGTAAATAGTCTCATGATCAAGTGTGTACAATATTCCTTCTTCATGGTTGGCTGGAGTCTTTAGTTGTTTGTGTATTTGTGCTTGATGTTGGACGTTAGTGTGATGTGTTGTATTTCTGTCGATAGTTGACTTTAATGAAAACATATAGAAACAGGAGATGTAAAACTGTAGACAAACGGAAGCGCACCAAAACTCCGAAGAAAAAATTCCACTTTGTCAGTTTGTTTGTGTAAGGCTCTGTCTGACACCAGGCTGCCCTTAGAACATCACAACGCGCTGCGAGAGAGAGGCCAGGCGGGGTGGGACATGGTGTCAGCTAAGATCAATAATAAGAAAAGGAGAAAAAGCACTGGCTGTTCCCATGTTTGGTGACAGTGTTCCTCGATGCTGTCGGAAATATAAGTGCAACACAAATCTATTTACCTCCAAACTGAACATAGTCTAAACAGGCAACAGCACAGTGGGTTTATCAGAGGCAACAATGTGAATGTATGAAGGTAATGTGTTTAGAGTGTTCGGATGGCCCTTGTAATTGTAATGGAATATGTCATTATAAAAATAAATTTGCTATGCAGTGGTCTCTCACTACGACACTGCATTTTACGGCGTGCTTCTCATGTACTTTTAAACCAAGCTCTTAAAATCATCAATGACTCTTCTTCCCACCCGGGGCACGGTGGCTGAGTGGATAGCACTCTTGCCTCTCAGCAAGAAGGTCCTGGGTTCGAATCCCGGTCAGACCAGGGCCTTTCTGAGTGGAGTTTGCATGTTCTCCCCGTGTCTGCGTAGGTTTCCTCCGGGTACTCCGGTTTCCCCTACCACTAAAAATATGTACAATAGGTCTGGCATGCGCCTCGTGTACTGGCGACCCCGCTCCCATCTCTGTGTGGAGTGAGAGACAAATGCCCAAAAATAATTAACAATTGTAAACCGCTTTGAGACTCAGATTTGCAGTGAAAAGGCGGTATATAAATAAAGATTACTTACTACTACTACTACTACTTACACCCTGGTAAAGACATGTTCCAGCTTCTTCCCTCGGGCAGATGATATCGGTCGCTGAGATGAAAGGCATCTCGTGATGCTAACAGTTTCTTTCCACACGCTGTTAGGTGTCTGAACAAAGCACTTTAATTGTTGTTTTCACCCCTTGTGTCGGTTTTTGTCGATCGGTGCCACAGTGTCAGCTGTTTTTATTTATGTCCAGCGTATGTGCATGTGTATTTTATTTTATATTACATTGTATTGTACTTTGTATTCTGTTGGTGCACACAGAGTACCTTTTTTTGCAAATGTATTCCAATGTGTTTTTTATACAGCACATGGCAAATAAAATGAATCTGAATCTGAGCCGCTGCTTCTCAATGGCTCCCTTATATGCCGCGCTGGAGAAGTGTCCCAGGCATGTCCCACCCAGACACACGCTGGAGGAAGTGTGTGTAGATAGGGAAGTCTTCACGTCACTGTTATAGACTGCTTTCTAGGCTACCCGGCAATGGATTAAGCAGAAATCTGGGGGGCTGGATGGACTTACAATGGTAATACAAGAAAAAATTGAACAGAAACTATGATGATGCATGGACTGGCTCTAGAGAAACCCATAAAGTGGACAGAGAACAAAGACATCTCCTCACCCCTCTGAAGTTGCTTGTGGCCTGGAAGTAGATGAGGTAGTTCTTGGTAGGGTCCAGGGGGCTGTTCCAGTAGCCGTTGTAGGTGTGGTTGTCTCCCACCGTGAAGGGCGTGGCCTCGGGCAGACTGCTGGGGGCCAGTTCAGCCGTGTAGTAGTGTGGCGAGCGTTTGGCCAGGGCCTCGGTGTGGGAGTTGGAGCTCGGGAAGCAGTCGGAGCTCCCCAACTCTCTCCTCTTCACCTGCCGAGAACCGTCCTCCTCCACCACCACCACCTGGTACGCACTGGGCAGCAGAGACAAGCAAAGTTTAGTTATTTACAATACTCATCCATGGGCTTTTATTTAATTGGATAGTTAGACATAATCAAAGCTGGGGTCCCAAACTTTATCTGCTTTTTTTTTCATAAATAAAACACGTCCTTTTTCTCGATCAAAATCTTATAAGAGTGAAAATTAGTGATAGAACCAAACTGTTTTTGCTAGCTGCTTTTTTCTGGCAGACAAAACCAGACATACGGACCAATGGCTCCAATGGGTTTGTTATTATTGCAATTCCGGTGATAGAACTTTTTGATTCTCTGAGTTGTTATTAGCGACAACTTTGTAAAGCGGCTTCTGAGACGTACAATCAGTTGGAGTTGAATTGAAGGTAATGTTTATTCTGCCAGATTGATATATAGAAATGATGTGATATGAACGTATTCAATAAGTACAAATGCTGCGGAGATTGGCTAATTGAAAGCAACGTTTTTTTTCAGAGAATGAAGAATAAAGGTATATTAGTGTAAGTGGTAGCCAAGTTGTCAACTTTGGACAACAACTATAGCAAAGTTCACAGTTGCTTTTACATGAATCTAAAGTCAATGCATAATGACGACGATGCACGCGGTCAATATCAAAGCCACGGCCAATTAGAAAAACAAATTGCATGTCATTAGTTATAATTACATATGAGCTTGGGAATGGACTTGTTCTAGTCAAAGACATGAGGAGACTGTGTGGGCGTCTGGTGAAGGGAAATAATATGAATTTCTGCAGTGCGTTTGTAACATGTAAGTGAAAAAACACGTACTGCCTTTATTTACACCAGTGTTTTTCAACCAGTGTTTCTTACGGTGTTGTTTGGAGTGCCTTTGGGAATGATTCAATATCATCTAATTGGTCAAAATTCCCCACTCCATTTCGCACATGATAAAATTTATTATTTAAATATTTATAATAATAATTAGTAAACTTCATATTCAATTGAACATTTTAATTTATTTATTTTGGTGCTTTTGTTATGTATCTATATTTATACTTGTCGTCGAGTATCTTGTTTTGGTTAAGTTTTGTAATTTGTCATGCACAAAATGAAAATAAAATGAAATATAATGTGTGAAGCTTATAAAGATAATGTGAAAAGAAAATAATGTGAGAAGCTTATAAAGACGTTTTTTAGCGGTTATTTGATTTTCTATATAAAACATTTTGATGAGGAATTGTTGTTAATAAAGGCTTGTATCAGTTTCAGGCCCAAAAAGGTTGGGGGACACTGCTTTTGACGCTTGTAATGAAGCGTAGGAACAAAGCATGCCTCGCAATTTCTTCTCAAATGTATTGCATTGACACCAAAAATAAAGACAAAACCGTGTCCCCTAAATCTAAGTAGGTATTTGTAAATTTCTTGAATGCACTGAATCTTCTCAAAGCTTTGATGAATCCAAAATTGCACACAACTATCAACAAAACTTGCAACAAATTCATGTTAATTATAGAATTTATCTTAATATTTCACTGTTTATTGTGAAATCTTTGAAAGGGCTATAGCCATGTAATCTTACTGTGTTTTTTATCCATTTTTAATCATTGTATTTAATTGTATTTATTTTAATTTCATTTTTAGTCATCTATGAACATCGAGTAGTTCTATTTTTTACATGTTTTGTTTCTGTGCATGCCTTTGATATTTAATAATACTAATAATACTAATAATAATAATAGCACATTTTATTTTGTAGGCACCATTCTAGATAATCAAGGTCGCTTTACATAACAAGTAAAAAGTGCTTTTAATTTGTGCACCGAGCAACTTAAATAAAACACATGGCTTGGAAAAGTGGATTCTGACGTCACACTGTCCAAGGTAAAAGTCACTAACCAAAAAAAAAATCTATGATCTTACACAACAGCGCACTCCAACCAGCTCATAATCAAAACCCTCAAAGTTGAAATACTATTTACCAAAACTAACTAAACCGCTGGCTCTTTCGCTTTTTGAAATGTAAATCGTCGTGGTAGAGTCGACCCTTCTGGCCTTAAAAGCTCAGCGGGAGACGCTGATGAAATATGCATCATTCGGCGCTTGTATCGGAGCGGACACTTTGACATCATCCGTTTACCGGCAGAGCATGGTTTTCATGGCACCCGTCACGGAATCGATAGAGACGCCACAGAGAGCGGACCCCAGCGAGACCAACGTTTTATCGCATCTCAGAGTCCACCTTAAATGTCACCTATGGCTAAACGCAATATTATACTGGACGTTATAGATCAGAGGTAACCAACCTTTTTGAAACCAAGAGCTACTTCTTGGGTACTGATTAATGCGAAGGGCTACCAGTTTGTTACACACTTAAATAAATTGCCAGATATGGCCAATTTGCTCAATTTACCTTTAATTCTATGTTATTACTAATCCATCCATCCATCCATTTTCTACCCTTTAATCCATTTCTGGGTCAGGGGGGTGGCAATCAGAGATGCCACCCAAGTCTCATAGCACCAGCCCCTCACTGACCCTCTGCAGGTGGTGAGTCCACAGGAGGACGGCTGCTCTTTGAGTGTGAGCATAGCCTTGATCTTTCAGTGGGGGCTTTGGGCAAAGTGGGGTTAAGTGTCTTGCCCAAGGATACAACGACAGCAGTCATCAGTGGGAGTTGGTGGAGAAGGTGTAGAGGTGGGAATACTAATAATTAATGATATTTATTTTGTGGAAAAAACTTTTATATTTTCTCTAAGTGCACATTTTTCAAATTTAACAAATGATCACTTCTAAGACAGTCCCATTTAATCGCAATTAATCACATTTTAATCGCATATAAATATTTGACCTGAGAACAGTGAGAAGTAATTTTTTTCACATGGATTTTTAGTTTACCATTGAATAATGACTGAATACATGAGGCTTAAGCAACACATGTTAATATGGAGTTTAAGGGATAACTTCTAAACATCAACTAACGTTTCTGTCATTGCCTCCACACTCTGACGACAACATATGCTCCTCCTCCTCCTCCTCACACTGACGACAACATACTCTTTTTAAGCCCAAAATCCACTGCACACGCTGTGAGCACTAAAGCTGGGCATGCGCTGTTTGCTAAAGCTTTTATAATACGTTTTTGATGTGTGCATTCGGAGTAAACATCAGCATTAGCAGCTCACACACCTGTGTCTCGCTCCTCCTTCTCCTTATCCTCCTCCTCCGCTCACACAGGAGTCACTGCTCCTCCTCCTCACACACAGAGTCCATCGCTCCATACACAGCGCTCATTCCCGTCTAATTTACTCCAATTTAAAGTTGGTCTCTGCTTGTAATAATGTACTTTTGAACAAGAAAAGTCAGAGCTCCGGTTGGTGCGTCAGTTCAATTGGTCCGTCTGAAACGTATTCAGTGAGGAACGTTCCGTGGTGCAAAAATACATACGATTAAAATGCGTAATTTTTTTAACGTGCTTTTTTGTGTGTAATTAATTAATCTTTATTAACTTGTTAAAGTCCCGGCTCTAGTTTATATGCCATTTGTAAGCTGCATGTAAGTATGATTTAAACAAGAATAGCACTGGTAAGTGCTGCCATTTGAGCTATTTTTAGAACAGGCCAGCGGGCGACTTATCTGGTCCTTGCGGGCGACCTGGTGCCCGCGGGCACCGCGTTGGTGACCCCTGTTATTGATGATACATGTATCTGGATTTTTGTGTGTGTGAATGGTTAAGTCTCGGCATCTCTGCTTGGACTACTAACCCACAACCCGGCAACGGATAAAGTGGAAGAAAATGGATGGATGGATGGTTTTATGGAGCACTTTTCTGGACCCTTACATACAAGGCAATGTGGGTTGAGATAAGATAAAATGTTATTGATCTCACACTGGAGAAATTTACATGTCACATTTGGCATGGATCGAATCACTCAGTTTGTGCAAATGAAAGAAGTGAGCAAACATGTTAAAGGCTAAAAATATAGAAATATATTCTGTGCAGGGTATACTAAAATAAATAATTTAGTACTTTACAGCAGCAGTCGGCTCATAAGTGCTGATGCAACTTGCACATTTTGTCATGTTTACGACTACAAACAAAGATTTCATTTTGGATTATTTTTTTATTTTCTGAAAGACCAGAACAAAGTAAAAGGCAATTGTGAAGTGAAAGCAAAATGAAACATGATTTGACGAATGACACATAGTATGTATTGTATATAAAATCTGCAGAAATCAATTTGAAAAAAACAAAAAAACATTTACACTTTGTTCAGGTTTTTGACTGTGTCCACAATGACCAACCTCACCACTCATTTATTCACATTATTAAAATCTTGCAGCGACCGGAACCCTGGATTGAACACGGCAGAGGTGTCTGTCGCTGATATGAAAGGGGAGAAAAGTTTAGAAATTCCAGCTGCTTGGCTTTGAAAAGTAACATTTCTTGACTATTTTGTCGCAAAAGCCAAATTTACAAGTGAAGGGGACACAATTTTTCCAGCTGCTATGAAATACCAAAAAGTTTCCTTGGCAAATTGGAAAATGTTTGGCACACATAATCATGTTTTCCTAAAGGGACAGGAGAAGTGACTTTGCTGTAGAGGAGCACATTTCCGTGGATCCATGGAATGTGCCAAGAATTTAAAGTTGTATTTCGAAAACTTTGAAAACTTGTGTGCACAGGTCTTAATGTTCAAACCGGTTCTTTCGCTTGTGAGCCAATTCGACCATTTTATGTTAAGTTGAATGTATTTATTTTACCAGGAAATCTGAACTTCTGAAAAAATGCAATAAATGCACTCTCTCCTTTTCCTCTTTACACTGCTGCAACTTTCAGCCTCTCAGCCAAAGGCCAAACCCAGTCATAACATGGTCTGTTAGTTTAGTTGATTCAAATGGAAGGGAAATTTTAGTCAATCAAAATCATCATAAATATGTATGACCTGGTTTCGGTCTCATTCCTATTTACTTGATGTGATCCAACAAATATCAGTGTCAGTGATTATTAGCCTTTTTTATTATGGTCATAAAAAAAAAAAACATGTCAAAAACCAAACATTCAGCAAAAACATCTATTGAAAAAGGCAATGACCATTGAATCATTAGTGAGGAACACATAAGTTTGCACCAACCCCAGCACCTGCTTAGACACGGGTCTCATCCAACAATGCATTTAAAGCTACGGTACCCAACTTTCAAGACACACACACATTTTACCGTCACAGCCACAAGTTCCTGGCTCTGAAACAATTTACTTTCATCACTAGTTTTCATAAAAATCGTCACATAATTATTGTCACTTTATTGTACATATATATCCTGCATGTAACATGTTTGCACATTTCCTCCCTTTGCACAATCTGAGTGTCTCTATCCATGCCAAATGTGACATGTACATTTCTCCTCTGTGAGATAAATAAAGCAATCTTATCTTATCTTATCTTATCAACTTTGTATACACTTTTTCACACAGTAAAGTGAAAAAAAGAGGACCACTCAATCAGATGAAGTGTCTCAAATAGTGACTCACAGGGCTAATTTTTTAAATATGCTCAAGATAAACATATTTTCTAATAATATCAAGTGATTTTACTTTTGCTCTTCCTGTTCGGTAAAACAACAAGTGTTATTAAGGAGAGAAGTTTAGATGCCCCAGCTTTAATTGGATCCAAGGAGGATCCTAAACTGTTTTATTTTAACAAAGGAGAACATGGAAATGCACAGCAAATGTAACTGGTGCTACAATACTGAAATTTCCCCACAGTAGGACGAATAAAGTATCTCTTAAAATACATCCTACATCTGCTTTTGTGCTTGAAGAGATTTTCCTCAACAAACCAACGAACCAGAAATCGTACGATCGAACCCTTTTTAACCATATTCTCCATGTCGAAAGCCCGTGTCGCCGAGTTTTAAAACTTTCTTTTGCACGATCAAGGTGTTCTTCCCCTCAAAGTCTCCCGCTCCATTTTTCTCCTCGCGATGGCTGTTGTTGAGTGGAATTGGCTCGGCGCTGCCCTCGTTACAGTGACACGGCTGTCAAACTGTCACACCGATGATTGGTTGGCATTTGCGCTATCGGCAGCCATTGTTTGTCAGCTTTTAACCGCGGCACCGGCACAAACAGCCTCCAAATTGACAGGTCTTGATAGATGGTAATTATTTGAAATACTCGCGTCATTGCTGCTAAAACTTTTAAGATCACTCCAACTTGTTTGCTCTTCTTTTGGTGTTCAAATTTGGGAGGGACTAAATCGAAGCGTTTTAGAGAATGTGGCAAGGTACTGTAGGTGAGGAGGTTTGTAGAAAGTAGAAAGGAAATCCGATTTGAGTTAATGTTACGTCAATGATAGGATGCCGGAATTTGTTACATGAAATGAAACAAAATATTTTCTTAATAAACAAGGAAATAAGAAAGGGAATTTTAGCCTAGGAAAAGATTGTGCCAAAACCCTGTGAATATTGTTAACAATCCAAAATTATTGTTCATACATTCTTTACAAGGTATAAATTGTCAAATGTTTTGGGGCAACGCTTATAAGGTAATGGCACTTCCTGGGGGTTCCCAATTAAAAAGCACTTGCGAATCTGAGGAATTGTTAAAGTGTATGACTTTTTTGTAAATGAAGAGATTTGAGCTATAGGCTGTTGTCCTGTTTCTTGATTGCCACTTTTTTATTGTGCATAATATATCCTGCATTTAACATGTTTGCACATTTCTTTCCTTTTCACAATCTTCCATCCATCCATCCATTTTCTTCCCCTTAATCCATTTCTGGGTCGGGGGGGTGGCAGTCAGAGCTGCACCCAGTCCACAGAGCGCCAGCCCCTCACTGATCCTCCTGCAGGTGGTGAGTCCACAGGAGCTGAGATCTTTCAGTGGAGGCTTCAGGCAAAGTGGGGTTTAGTGTCTTGCCCAAGGACACAACGACAGCAGACATCAGTGGGAGTCGTGAAGTAGGTCTTACGGTGGGCTCGAACCCAACTGAGCCACTGTCGCCCCCTTTTCACAATCTTGAGTGTTTCTATCCATGCCAGATGTGACATGTACATTTCTCCTGTGTGAGATCAATAAAGTCTATCTTATCTCATCTTGTCCATGTACTAATCATCACCAACACCTTCTTCCATCTGGAAATTTGTTGATAAGAAAACACCACTCATGTGATAATTGGATGTATCACCTGTTCCCAAAAGTGAAATGTGAAAGTTCTTCTCTTGCAGATATGTGGTGCTGGGTCGGGACTGGGAGAGCTGGTTGTACCTGACTGGAGCTCCGCGTCCCAGGGCCGGCCTCAGCAGGACCGTGATGGTGTTCTCAGATTCGCTCAGAGGAGAGGGGACGTCTTCGTAGTCAAAAACAGGGGCTGCAACAACAAAAAATAAACATATGACTTAAGGGAGACCACATACACACTAAATGTAACTGGTTTGATTTTGTGTTTCTAAAAGCAAATATGTGACATGGAAACAAACCAATGGTACATCCAATAGAGTGAGCAACGACAGGTGAGATGACGCTAAATACAATAGTTTCTGTTGAAATGATATATTGCAAACTTTGTGAAAGCAATTTGATTATAGAAATTACCTGAACAATTCTGGTGAATAGACTTTTGAAAATGCTGGGTGATGTAGCATGGTTGAATGAGGAATTATACGTTTTGGACAGAGTCAGCAATTAGATAGAAAAATTACGCGCACACACACAAAAATCAATTACAGATAGATACAGTGAGTTCAATAATGACAAATACTTTCGAAGCACTTTTTCATGTTTACAACAACAAGCACAGATTTACTTTGAAAGACCACAACAAAGTTACAGTGCAAAAAAAATTGATCATGGAGGACCTACTATATGCACCACTTCTTTATATATAAAAACGCGGAATTACTGTGTTCTGAGTATATTAAGTTGCGTTTGAAATGTTCCTAATTACTGCTGAATGCTCACATCCCACTCTTTGGGATGCACCGGCACATTCGTGGTTTCGGATATTAGTGTGGATATTGTAAATGTTGTTGGACATGGTTTCGGTTTAATGATATCCTTAAGCAATTACCCTGATTAAGCCTTTCAATCAAAGTAATACAACTATTTATTGGCCAATACTAACCCAGAATGTCAGAGTTTCAACTTTTATAGGTAGTAGTAGTAGTAGTAGTAGTAATCTTTATTTATATACCGCCTTTTCACTGCAGATCTGAGTCTCAAAGCGGTTTACAATTGTTAATTATGGGCATTTGTCTCTCACTCCACACTGAGATGGGAGCGGGGTCGCCTGTACAGGAGGCGCATGCCAGAACTATAGGACATATTTTTAGTGGTAGGGGAAACCGGAGTGCCCGGAGGAAACCTACGCAGACACGGGGAGAACATGCAAACTCCACTCAGAAAGGCCCTGGCCCAACCGGGATTTGAACCCAGGACCTTCTTGCTGAGAGGCGAGAGTGCTATCCACTCAGCCATCGTGCCCCCCGGTAGCCGATAGGTGTTAACTTACTAACTTACTTACTAACTTATAGCTTCAGAATTGGATAACGAATGCTATGATGTTCATTTTTCTGTGCAGCACTTAGGAAACCATTTGTTTATAACAGGGGTAACAAACTTTATTCCAGAAAGAGCTAGTGAGGCTGCAGGTTTTCACTCCAACCAAGCAGGAGCATGGCCCCCACCCATTTCCTCAAGTGTGCTCCTGCTTGGTTGGAGGACAGTTTTTTTTACCCCTGGATTATAAAAAAATGTCTCTGTCATTAAAGAGAATTGGATTGGATGAATTATGTTTTAATAGTTGAAAACATGATTGAATACATTTTGCAATGATTTAGCTGCGATTTTGGTCTCGGCAGATATTGAAAACCACAGTATCGTGATCAGACATACACAAATCGGAATCTGTGCATCAGATGTAAAAGTTGAAGTGGCATTCAGATTCAGATATTTATCCCACCAGGGGCAATTTGTTTGAGCAAAACATGGCATCATACGTTAGAAAGCCAATGCACAGGTTCAAATGTTCAAATCGATTTCTAAGAATTACAGAACAGACAGAAAGCTACAATCTCATTTGAATCTATACTGTCCCACATCAAACAGTTTGGTTCAAAAAGCCTCCGTTGTCTTTATTTGCTCACATATCGCCGTCCACGCCCCCTTTAACATGAAACGGCAGCAGTGCTATCTTAATCCATTCGCCTGCGCGCTCCCTGGTGGGCCGCGGCGCGCGTCGAAGGGCCTCCCACTTGCCGCCATTAACTGATGAGGACTCCCAAACATCAGCCAGCCGCGGAGAAAAACAAGGCCCTTATAATATAATTACAACCAGTCTCCAAAAGTGCGCGGGCCCTCGGCAAAGCTCTGGGGACAATGGGGTTGAGTGTTCCCATCTCGTGTTTCTACAGGGAGTGAATTAGCCACGCGATGTAGTCAAGCGAATGGCCGCCCCTGCTGAAGGAGATAAGGGGGCGGACGGAGGGCCAGGCACAGTGGCTGATGATGCTTTGAGAATTTGCTTCCAACTTGGGAGAAGAGCAGATAAAGAGCTGGGTTTGGACTTAAGAAAGCAGCAGGATGTTTACTTTTAGGACTTAAAAGCTTTATGGTTTTGTGATTCAGCAATAACTGAAAAGGAAGCAATAAACAGACTCATAATATGCAACTAAATTAAAGCTGGGGGTCGGTAACTTTCAAAACACAGACATTTAACTGTGATATATTCCAAGCTCTCTATAGCTTTAACATGCAATTGTTTTGGTCTCTGCCACATCTTTAGATCGGCTTTCACACACACACACACACAGACTTCAGACCTTACATTTCAGTCTCAGGTGCCACAGTGGGGCGGCTGCGGCTGTAAAGTGCAAAACTGTGGTCGGAGGGGCTAACAGCGCATAATGGTTGCCTCGCTTCTGTCAGTGTGCCCCAGGGCAGCTTTGGCTACAGTAGTAATTTATCACCACTGTGTATGCTAACCCAATAAAATAAAAACATATGAAGCCTCTTTGAGTGTCCAAAAGAGCGCTATTTATATAAAAAAAAAATGGTGCATTATTATTTCCACTATTTCCTTCTGTAAAATACAACAAAATCATGGAAGGCCCAATCATGAAAGCCACAGTTTATGTTGTTGACTCTATGAAACTTTCTCCAACTCATGTATTCTGCAGACATTCTGGTATCTTCAAGGATAGTGTATCTCGTATGCTCACAATGCAACAGAACGAGACTTTTCTTTTTGATGTCTGGTGGCAAAAGTAGCAGTGGGAGAGGATGTTCTTTTTGTAATGGCGAAGAAGCCGCAGATGCAGATAAAATATAGTATACATGATCTGTAGTGACATCTCAGGCTGAGATTTTAACTTGAATAAATCAGGCGCACTCCAGCAGATGGTAAATGTTTGCCCGACCGTCAGCACAAAAACCGGAGAGAAGCCGTTATGCAAAAACTATTTTATGAACAAGTAAGGAAGAGAGATTTCACAGGTGCGCGATGGGTTAGCTTTGTTTTGTCGTATTTACAAAGCAAAGCAGTTCACAAAACTCATCTGTTTTTCAACTTGAGCTAACAAAACTTTAATATGTTTGTTAAAGAGGCCAATGTCGCACATCTGCTGCAAAATATCACCCACTTCTGTTTAGGGAAGTTTTGGTTCTCATTGTTTTTTCTTTACAAGGAATATGAACTGATTTATGAGCTATCCATAACACATATGATCTATAGGATTATCAGAACTACAGCTAACAATATTTTTTTCAGTTAATCCTAAAAATACTAAAGATTGTTTTTTATGCTGTTTAATAAGTCAAATAGAATGGAAATGTGTGTTTTTCATCAGAACTGCTGAAAACTGTCATTTTCTTAATATGCAAGTTTCAGGCTTTTCATTCAATTCAGTGTATTTTAAATAAAGAAGCAAGTATACTGTAAAATGTCTAGTTTTAGAGTAATAAAGAAGCAGGTCTAAAATCTCCAACTTCAGCATTATGAATAAGGAAGAGTTAAGTATCAAATCTATGAGTTTAGCATAATAAAGAAACAAGAATTACCAACAAAATATATCGTTGTATGAATACATCTGTACATGTTAGCTGCATGAGGGTATGAGACAAAGTGACTCAGTAAAGTGACAGTCGACACATGTGATTCTATATCGCACATTCTGACATTAGTCAAGAGCAAGGACATTCACAACTATAGCCTCTCAGGTTATCTCCGGTAATCGCTGTTAAAAGGCAAAGCACCCCATTTTAGAATTGGCGACATCAAAACTGCGATAAAAAACCCACACATGAAGGCAAATGATCCGCAACACACCACTTCCCACCACGGCAAACGTGAGATCCGTAAGATGAAAGCAGAGAAAAAAGAATCAATGTGACGACTAAAGAAGCAAAATCACTTTTTTTCCTCTAAATACTTATGAAAACAGAGAAATGCATCTTGGAAATTCTCACATTATCAAAACACGGCTGATTGTTCTTGCTTGTAAGGGTACGGAACAAAGAGTGCTGGAAAGAGGTATATCTGCTGCGTCGCCTTGAAGCCGCACGCATGTAGGTTAAACTAGGTTGCAGCTTAATGTAGGCATAATAATATATAACGGCTGAGAGTGCTGCGAGATGTGTGGCTGTTTCATTAGACAGTGGGTGGAATATTAGCAACGATAGCGGCGTTATCTTACTAAAGAACATAAAAAAAATCATTGAATAGAGGGATGTGAAAAGAACCTGGTCAAATCTCAGCTCGTTATATCCTTTAAAAGGGTATAAACAACAACATTACAATAGCTCAAGGCATTTGATCAGCGTAAACACAATTATCTGTGCGTCTGCAGAAAGGCATTTGCACAAAGGGACGTCTGCGGGAAGATTCTAAGTGATGGAAGTGCACAAAACAAACGTGTTTCAATAGAGAATGAGAAGTCCATTGGAAATACGTTGTGACTGAGATAAGATAATTATATTTCATAGCAGGTGGTGAGGCGTATGGCATATAGCAGGGCTGTCAAACTCATTTCAGTCGGGGCAAAGTTTGAAAATGTAAGAGCTGGTTGAGTCCAAAGTTGAGTTCTTTAACATATTTTTGTATTTGACCAATATTGACCAATTCATTTTATTTAACATACCGTTATTTTCTAGTATGTTTGAATTAAATCAGCTCTAAGTGGGACTAAGGTGTGTCCTAGATAACAGAACTATGTGACATCACAAAATGAAGAATTGTGAGATGATCCAAGTATCATTGGCGATGGTGATAATACTTTGCAGAATTTCGTAATCATGAAACCCTGGATATACTCGCAATTCGGTTTCAGGCGCTCGACGCTGAAGACTCTAGGAACAACTGATGTTAAGAATCTGAAAAATACTAGTCTAAGAACGCTCACGACAGTACTGAAGACGACTCACAACTATGCTGCCTAAATATATTGAGTTTATAAAGGTAATTACATCTAGTAGTAGTTTTTCATGAAGAGCCTTTAGGTTTCCCCTCTTTCTACTGTTACATTAAGTTTTCTGAATGAAGATATCTGCCTGGGCCCGAGAGCAGAACACAGCGACAATTACAAACGGCACGAAGCAAAAGCCATTGAACGTCTTTGCGCTAAAAGCATATGTGTAATTGAATCAAAGGCTCCTAAAATGTAAGCAAATTACGCCGCATTCTTCGTGGAGTTTCTCGGCAATTGATTAAAACAAGGAACAGAGGAGCTCTTTGCCGAAAATAAGACGCTCTTGCACAATGGGTTGAAAAATATAGGCAATTCTCATTTATTAGGATCATTTAGCGGGATAATCGGCGGCCAGCGAACTCGTTTCAGGGCGAAGAGGGCAATGTGATAATCTTGTATTTTAATAGAGCCATAAAATCCTAACGGGCTGCGATGAAAAATGTACTTTGAGACGTAAATGTGTTGTAATAGGCGGCGGAATTAGGAGTGTGATGGTATGTGCATTGTGGGATTGCGTTCTAGAGTATTCTATTAAGACGCATATAGTCATGAGTGGCGGACTGTGACAACTATTTCCATACAGCGCAAACAAATGGACTGATTTAAGTCATTATCGACTTTGAAAAACAATCACGTTTAGCATTACGGAATCTATGGCAACAGCATCCACTGTATGGCAATAAGGCTGCATCCACATGAAGCAAAAACACCTCCTTCCTTGTCCTCAAAAAATGACCTTTTATTAATCAGAACGGCTGTGAAATTTAACAACTTTGTAAGATTTTTTAACGTCATTTGGGTCAAATTTGAAGTCAATAAAAAATGAAAAGGAAAGGACAAGGAAGGCGGTATCTTTTATAAATTTGGATGTAGTGTTTGTGAAATGACCTGGTTTTGCAGCACTAATGTTGAGCTGCAAGTGGTTTAAACAAGTCCTCTATTGTATGCATTATGAGGGTCCATCATTTTGAAATTCATCTATAAATCAATACCAGTAAGAATCACTTAAACAAAAAAATTATGAAGTTTGTGATCTAATAATAATAATGCGTTGGTTTTATATAGCACTTTTTTGGACATGCTTCATTATTTATTCACTCCATGGACAGTGGTGATAAGGTACTACTCTTGCCACAGCTGCCCAGGGACAGACTGACAGGCAACCAGTATAAGCCATCGGTTCACGGCCGATCAACCACAAACACTCTAGATTCACTCTAGACATTCTAGACAATGTGGGTGTCTTCCCTTGGGAGACGTTGACAGTATGGCACTTTACAACTACCCTGTTATTTAAAAAAAAAATTAAATGCAGCTAATTTTCCGAAAACAAGCATTTTACAATCACCACCACTGTCAAAATGGGTATTGAGAACTGTAATATACTCTTTGATGAAAAAACAGCTCAAGTGATGTTCCTGGAGAACATCATCATAGAAATGATTCGTTTGATTAAAAATACTTACATTTTCATTTCATTCTGAAGTCATTACAAAAGTATCTGAGTCATAAAACCTCTTTGCTGCATGTTTAAGTCTTTGCAAGATTCAAAACCTGAGCAAGATCTTTATGAGTCAAGTCATAAAATGGAGCAGTTCATCTCTGGATTGGACTTGGAATGAAAAACTTGGCTTGTGAATAGTTACCGGAGATGTTGGTGGTGATCTCGGTGAGCGCGGTCTGGCCGAAGCCCTTGGTGGTCCTGGCCCTCACAGACACCAGGTAGGTGGTCCCTGGGTGCAGGCCCGAGAACATGTGGTACGTCTCGTTTCGCAGCTTGGACACAGTGCGTCGTGGTCCGGGAACGTTGATACCAGGATCTGAGGACTCGATGCTCTGGTAGCTGATCTGGAAATACAACAAAAGGCAAAAACATATTCAGTGGATTATTATTGATTATAAGGACTTATGCATGAGAGGCATAGACTGTAGATGGGTATGGACAAATGCTAAACTGCAAGCTCTATGAAACTTATCAGTGAAGTGGTCAAGGGAAGTTTTCCTTAGACTCATTTTTGGTTTCCAGTCACAAAACTCCCTCGAGCTCTGTAACTGTTTGGGTCACCATTTTGGGCATAAAAATCCATGGTTCACAGTTCTGTATGATTCTTCAGTTTTCATGCTAATATTGTTTTTGTAGATCCACATATATGTCTACTGAACAACTGGCCAATCAGCTTTCTCCTGTTCCTGAAATAGGCTTCAGCTAGAGAGTAGTGCAAGCAGAAAACCCACCATAACCACTTCTGATTGGCTCTTTGGTTGCTGGGTTGTTGCTACCCATACATTTCTCTCCAGATTCTTGTCCATAATTTGAGTTTTTCCGCAGCAAGTCAAATGCTGTAGGTCACCTCAAACGTCTCAATGTCAAAAACATGGATTTTTTTTTATTTAGATTTTGTGTGCTGTAAATATCTTCTCATCTTTTATTACACTGGCATTTTGTGGGGCTGAATTATGACTTTGACCAGACAGTAAGCACATTTCCCAACCTGCATCGCCTCATGTCAAATATATATCACGTAAATCTGCAAAATGACGCCTCGGAGTGTACAGTATGCTCTCCACTCTTCCCTGGGCTGATTACTCACTGTCTGAGAGGGTGAACTTGGGAGGACATTTTATTTTAAGTCTCTCTCATGAGAAACTCCACTCAATTAATCTTGAGACGTGCAAAAAGATGCCACAGCGTCCTGCCCATCTAGTAAATCATGTCTGCTGTTTAACCACTGGTATTCACACTTTTGCAACTTAATCTCTAACTTCAAATTGTTTTTTGACGGAAAAACAGGAGATATATCTACTGGCAAAAAGTTTCTTATGTGGAATAAACTAAGTTGGGCTTAAGATATGAATGCATGTTCTTCAAATATGGCTGAAAAAATTAATAATATATTTGTATGATTGTCGTTACTTCTGTTTTGTATTCTAATAATTTGAGTTAGCAATAATTATACTATACTATACTATAATAGGTTTCCAGTGCCCAATGTTTAATCTTGGAGCTAACTTTAAAACAACAACAACACAAAATAGCCATATCTAACGAGTTCCTCAAAACAGATTGGTTATATCACTAGTTTTCTAGTCAAAAATCGTATTAAAAGTTGTGGAACTTTTAATCCGATTTTTGAGATGTGAAGTGAAAAAGAGAGAACCACCGACACTCACCAATCAATTTTCAGCCCAAACCATCAAATAGTGACTCACAGGGTTCTTTCTTGCAAATACACAAAGGATAATATGTTTTATAATGACTGATTTGTTCCCAAAATTCTACTTATATAAGTCTCTTTCTGTTGACAAAAAATAATATGTATTGTTAATGGGGAAAAAGTTTGGTACTACGGCTGCCAAAATACACAAAATATAATACCAAACTTGTCAACAAGAAAAGTTGGTTAAAATCAAGTAAAAAATGTGACTTGCGCAAGGAGAGAAAACGACATGACAAGTATAAAGGAGGGCTTCACGTCTGGCGCTGGGTTGTTTTTATTTGTTTGTGTTTGATGAATGAGTTTGAGCTTGTAAATCTGGACGGACACAGCTCAGGAAATCAAACAGTCCGCAGATGGAGCGAGTGTCCATTCCTCACAGCATCGGGAGGCAATAACTTCTGGGACAAAGTGCTTCCAGTTAACTGCCATAACCAAGTTTGACATGTTTGAAGGTGACTCACCAGAGCAAATGGGATGAGAGTCAAATAGATGGACATTTCCGATAAAAACGTGTAACCAGATGACAGAAAACAGGAGTTTAAAGACATTTGTTGTCCAAATTGAAATGGATTATTTCTTCTTATCAACCGTCAAGACTGAGATCAATAGAGTTTTCATAGTTGAAAAGAGTTGAACTTAGATTTTGAAGGTTTATTAAAAGTTTGCTGGTCCAGTGGGAGCGAAGTTTTGGATTTAAATGTTGACAGTCCTGAATGAAATCAAGTAAGTAAGTAAGTAATCTTTATTATACCGCCTTTCACAGACCAGAGTCACAAAGCGGTTTACAATTGTTATTTTTCGGGCATTTGTCCTCTCACTCCACACAGAGATGGGAGCAGGGTCACCAGTACAGGAGGTACATGCCAGACCTATTGTACATATTTTTAGTGGTAGGGGAAACGGTAGAACCCGGAGGAAACCTATGCAGACACGGGGAGAACATGCAAACTCCACTCAGAAAGGCCACTATCATATGCATTTCCTTTCTTGATTCATCTATGAGTTAGATATTTGTTTTTGAAACCATAATTTCTTCAAATCTTCCCAAATGTTCCAAGATCTGGGAAATGCGTAGATTCAATTATTTTTGTGCTTGCAAAAAGGAAAGTAGCCTTTCTGTATCACTTTACTCGGTACGTCATAGAAAGTCGAGTGGAATATATACCAAACAGTATGCCCAGGAAAGGAAGTCTTTCATTTCAAAGTCTAGTCCTTTATTGTTAACACTCCCAACAATATGAAGGCAAAATGGAGCAACTGCATGGAAAGGGCATGATGAGACTTTATATTATATTAAAAAAGTTCAAACATTTTGAAATAGTCACATGTCCAAATGAAGGCTGTCCTTCTGTAAAACTGCTATCAGAAACATAAGACTTCACTCCAGGTATCTCCTGTATCCCCTATTTTGAAGAGGGCCAAAGCCAAATTCGACAAAAAACATGTATTTTGTATGTGGGGGTGTTTTGAATAACACATTCAATGTTTACTAGACTTTAGAGCAGCACAACTAAGTCAACATCATCATCAGCTAATTAAGACATGTAGACACTTAATGAGAAGTAGAATCACACGTTCACTCTTCATTATTAGTAGTTAAAGTTGTTTTTATGTCTTTGCATATTTGACCCAATGGCTGTAAGAGCAGACATTGTGTCTTTTGATCTACTGCGCTCAGGGATCAATTGTTTTGTAGATTTGGGATCCAGCAGAGAAAACATACCAAACAATTGATTCTTTAGCATCTTAGAGACCACTGTGATGGAAAGTAAAGTAAGTAAGTAAGTGATCTTTTTCTAAATAACAATATTGAGGACATTATTTCTCTCACTCCACACAGTGATACATGCATGGTTCATGCAGGAGGCACAAGCCAGACCAACTGTACATGTTTTAAGAGCAACCCGGAGTAAATACTACGCAGACATGGGGAGAACATGGAAACTCCACAAGCTCCTGCGTCACTGTTCCACCCGCAGAATTCCTCCTTTATTGTTTTTGGGTTTGTGTATGTTTTTTGTTTCACTATGGTTTTATACTTTATTATAATATTATCTATGAGTTTCTATCATAGTAATAATTTTTAACACAAGGGGAAAATTGTAGGGGCCAAAAGGAAAAAGTGAAAAGGTAAAAGTGTCCTAAAATTTTGTAAATGTAACATAAAAAATAGTAAGAAAGGATGACAATAAAATTGTCAAATAAGGCAAACACTGAAATAAGTCAAATGATGCTCGATCGAGCACATTTTGACTGCCTAAATAATCTTGCTGTTAAAAGATGCACGGAATGTCTCCCTCGGAATGAGAAATAAAATTTCAACAGTTCTTGAAAAAAGACTAAATGGTCCAATTGGCCAATCTTGTTTGAAGACAATCAAAATGTGCTCAAATTATGATGAAAACCACTTGATTTAAGCATGTATCACCCCATATTTTAATCATTTTTTGCAGTGTAGTGAGGCACCGACCTCATGAATCTCAACACTGCCTGAGGTCATGGCCCACATCTAACAGTCAGACCATGATCCTCCTCAGCCTGACCATGGTCCGGTCTATCGCACCAGGGGAAAGTGTTGTTCTCATATCCTTTACTGTCAGGGATGTTTATGCATTCAATCATTTTTCAATTTGCCTCATTCTAAGTCTGATTGCAGTCCACTGATGTATTTTGCACTTTCCGGGACGACAGAGATATGATTCACTTCTCTGTAATTATTTGCGTCCTTTCATTTTCCGAGGCATCACAGCAGATATTTTTATCAGTGCCCGAGCGACAGTTATGCAAAAGAATGGAGATTATTCAGAGCTCAAATACGTGTACTTAAGATTCCAGAATAGAATTTTTGTGATGTCAGAAGACCCGGAGCCGAATGGCAAAAATGGCCAGTCAAAGCATCAGGGAGAAACTCATATGGAGGAAGGCATTCAGAATCGTTGGTATTTATTTGAATCCATCCATCCATTTTCCTCCCCTTAATCCATTTCGGGGTCGGAGGAGGTGGCAGTCAGAGCTGCACCCAGTACTCATAGCACCAGCCCCTCACTGATCCTCCTGCAGGTGGTGAGTCCACAGGAGCTGAGATCTTTCAGTGGGAGCTTCAGGCTAAGTGGGGCTAAGTGTCTTACCCAAGGACACAACGACAGCAGTCATCAGTGGGAGTCGTGAAGTAGGTCTTAGGGTGGGCTCGAACATCTATACGGTTACTAGTTTTGTTTTGTTTGGGCCATTGTTTACATTATAGACTTCCCGTCATGTCACCTAGAACCCTCACTGCAAAATGTGTTATAGTCAAAAATTACTAATTTCATGACATTTTGGCTGCCTTAAAACAAGATTTTCCAATGGGACAAGCAAATTATCTTGGAATGGGAAAAAATAAACCAACAGTTCTTGAAAAAACACTAAATAGCTCACTTAAATTAAGATAAAAACCACAGACTGTATATATTAACGGACGTAGACACGCCTATCTCCGCCGTTCTTACTAATGGGCCACAAATTGGGCTTTCAAGGAGTGATTCAAAATGGCCGCGGGGGCTGGAAAATGTGAAAAAAAACCGCATCTGCGCATGCGTCATCTGGCACGAGCCCCATTCATTTAAACGAGTGACTTCAAAAATTCAGAGT